TAACTTCACGAATACCACCTGGTGGGTTCACACTTACACTCACTTACCCATTTGACCATAAACAGAAATATCAATCTCATCTTAAAATAATGAATCCTAACTAGTCATAAGTTGGCCTGTGATACCCCAATACTGAAAACTGTATTGGGGCCAAAACAAAAGCATTCCATTGCTAAACTCACAAACTAGTATTAGTCACTTAGCCATAATACCCAACTTACCTCATAATTTGTAATATTTTAAGTTAAGAATTAATCTAAGTCTGCCCGAAATGCCTAGCCATGCTAGGTGTTCTAGTGGTACCTCTGTAATTGCCTAGCCATGCTAGGTGGTTCTAGTGGTACACTCTGTAAAAGCCTAGCCATGCTAGGTGTTTAGTGGGACACTCTGTAATGCTAGCCATGCTAGGTGTTCTAGTGGTACACTCTGTAATACCTAGCCATGCTAGGTGTTCTAGTGGTACACTCTGTAATGCCTAGCCATGCTAGGTGTTCTAGTGGTACACTCTGTAATGCCTAGCCATGCTAGGTGTTCTAGTGGTACACTCTGTATTTCCTAGCCATGCTAGGTGTTCTAGTGGTACACTCTGAATGGGCCCAGCTATGCTAGGTGTTCTAGTGGTACACTCTGTAATGCCTAGCCATGCTAGGTGTTCTAGTGGTACACTCTGTAATGCCTAGCCATGCTAGGGTGTTCTAGTGGTACACTCTGTAATGCCTAGCCATGCTAGGTGTTTTAGTGGTACACTCTGTAATGCCTAGCCATGCTAGGTGTTCTAGTGGTACACTCTGTAATGCCTAGCCATGCTAGGTGTTCTAGTGGTACACTCTGTAAAGCCTAGCCATGCTAGGTGTTCTTGTGGTACACTCTGTAATGCCTAGCCATGCTAGGTGTTCTAGTGGTACACTCTGTAATGCCTAGCCATGCTAGGTGTTCTAGTGGTACACTCTGTAATGCCTAGCCATGCTAGGTGTTCTAGTGGTACACTCTGTAATGCCTAGCCATGCTAGGTGTTCTAGTGGTACACTCGTAATACCTAGCCATTGCTAGGTGTTCTAGTGGTACACTCTGTAATGCCTAGCCATGCTAGGTGTTCTAGTGGTACACTCTGTAATGCCTAGCCATGCTAGGTGTTCTAGTGGTACACTTTTAATGCCCAGCCATGCTAGGTGTTCTAGTGGTACACTCTGTAATACCTAGCCATGCTAGGTGTTCTAGTGGTACACTCTGTAATGCCTAGCCATGCTAGGTGTTCTAGTGGTCACTCTGTAATGCCTAGCATGCTAGGTGTTCTAGTGGTACCCCTCTGTAATTCCTAGCCATTTCTAGGTGTTCTAGTGGTAACTCTGTAATGCCTAAACCATCTAGGTGTTCTAGTGGTACAAATCTGTAATGCCTAGCCATGCTTTGGTGTTCTAGTGGTACACTCTGTAATGCCTAGCCATGTAGGTGTTCTAGTGGTACACTCTGTAAATACCTAGCCATGCTAGGTGTTCTAGTGGTACACTCTGTAATTAGTATTTTGCTACATGTAAACCACACAATAAAAATTCTGTAACTTTGAATTTGAATTTGAACTAACAAAAAAATTTAAGTACCGTCATGCAGACATTTTTCTAAACAGTGTTTTCAGGCTTATTAACATGTTGTAGAGCTCTCACACACTAGTGTTCAGCAGTAGTTAAAATGTGATAGAGCTCTCCACACTAGTGTTCAGCAGTTGTCTACCATCAAAGTGCCAGGTTCCCTTAAAACTCTTTCCATGATGGCCCATGTCATTGTAAAACATCACCGTGAGGTTGCTTTTGTAAAAACTGTACGGCTTTGGGCAAAACTTAAGTTCAGATTTGATTCAGCATCCCAAATAAGTTAGGAAACACTTTCTAATGAAACGAAACTTCAGTTAACTGTTATTTTACATTAGACTGTTAAGATTAGAAAAAATGAAATTGATTTATATTCAGAAATACAATCATAGCTTAAATATTTCATGTGTGGACCCTAGAAATGTTTCATGTGGACCATAGAAAGTTTACAATAGACCATAGAATGTGCTTGTTGGACCCATAGAAGTGTATTTCTATGAGGTTTGCAAATGGATTTTTTTCCAAGCCATTCTCCAACTCATGGGAAGGGATTTTTCACACTTTTATCACACATAGTTTCAAGTCATACTCCTCTACACCATTGTTACAAATTTTTCTCCATCTACACCATCGTTTACCATTATACTCATTATACACCATTGTTTTTCCGTATACTCCCTTTAACCATCGTTTACCCAGTCATACTCCATCCTACACCGTCCGTTTACTCAGTCATTTTCTCAAAAAGGGCTCCTGCGCCCAATGAATTCTTTTTTTTTGCCTCAGCGCACGTACCCTACATCACCTAAATCTTCTAAGCCAACTCTTCTAAACCACTGCTTAAGCCTTCTCTTCCCCTTCTGTGCGAGTATTCCACACACATCAAAGAAGAGAAGCGATTACACCGTTTACCCAAATACACCCCCTTTCCCCCTCCCCAAAACTTTGCTCACCAATTTCTACATCCCCAAAAAACTCTTTTTTTTCAAAGCTTTTTTTTATTGAACCCCCCCCCCCCAATTTTTCCCCCTTTTTCCATGGGGGAAAAAATTTTGGCAAATCCTCCTAGCTGCATGTTGTTAGATTGTGGCAGCTGTTGATCATATAGTATTTACCTTGGTTTTTATTTGTTATTTATAGAAGGAGGGTTTTGTTTCCTATTCCTGCCGCACTTGAACTGAGAGAACAATCTCAATAGTGGTAATTAAATCATCATTAAATTTTTGTGTGCCAATGGCTCGTATTCTATACCATTGATCCAAGTGGTTAATAAAGTTGTCTCCTGTGTTCTGGTAAGAAATAAGTTTCCTCCTTCTGTATTTAGCTCCTTGATTGCTGGAGATGTGATCAAGATTGACAGTTGGTTATCTTGGGACGTGATCAGATAGAAAGAATCTCAACTATGACAGAGTCAAGCATCCGTATAATGATGTATTAAATCCAAGACACAGATCTAGTATGCCACCATATATGTGAGTAGGCTCAGTAGTGCCCACAATTCGTAACATAATCCATTCCATTTAGCAATCTCACTAGTTTAGATCCATGTGGTGTTTGTTATAACCACAATATTCTTATGTCTTGCTGGCATTAAATCTCCAAGAACTGATGTAGGTTCACTTTGATGCGATCTGGTAAAGCACAGGTCGAAGCTGGTTCCTGGGCATAGATGAATAAAATGTTTATGGAAAAATCGCCATGCATATACTTGACACATGATACTGCAATTAACCTCGACTCTGCAAAGGAAAGGGAGTGAATGTGGCAAGCTCTTTTCTGACATACTCACACAACAGTTGTTGACCTTATTTATAACCTGCATATCCAGGCAAGTTTGGTGAGTGCTCCATCTTTCAATCTACATTCCTGCCAAACAGATGGACATGCATGAGTCACGTGTGCACCTAAATGATGTAAGTCAGGCAACCGCTTCCTGATGGAAGCAATGTTCCATGAAAAGATTTGTAATGTATCCATTGTATTGAGTTATTACAATCTCATGCTCATAAGATGGTAGAAACTATTATGCTTTGACTACAGTTTGCAATACTTAAGAGCAATAGCATAGTTTGTACGTCTTTAAATCTTCCAGACCTTTATTATAAGCATTTTTCGGCATTTTGGCAGCCAGTGAGTAAGCAATTTTTGAAGCAAAGAGTTATGGCTTCTTTCTCACATATTGCTGAAGCTGAACGGAGAATGCTGCACTTTGACATCATCACCATGCTCAAGAGCCATCATCCCAGAATTACATATAATTTATTAAGCTTTGTCAGATCTGTTCAAGAAGCTCATTTTTTTCTGAAATTGTTATAATATGAAGGAAAGGTCTAACGAACCCATGCCTGCTCCGGAGGATGGCACTTCTGGGTTAAGTGCTTTCTTTAACACCTATCACCATAACAGGTACCATGGTTACATTAGTGTTCTCTGTTTCATCATTCATTGCAGGTAGGTCCTTGTCTTCTGACTATCACCAAATTCCAGGGAGGACTACCTGTGTGGTGGTCCGTCTGACTGTTGTAGATGTGTGATTGGTAAGAATGACAAACTCATCCCCATAATCGAGGTGTATCCCATAGAATCTGTAGTGGCAACCAGTAGATCCAATATGGCTAGCAGGGATGGCTAACTCTCCACAGCTGGTGTGTGTGAGGGCTCCCCTTTACACTGAACATTAACATGAACGATTAGATTTTTTTAGATTTTGGGCCACGAAGTGGCTAGTTTTATTGTGGGCACCCCATATCCATCCTGTGAATGGTAGCACGAGAGCATATGGATACACAAAAGTCCTAGGAACTAGCCCCAAAAAAGGGTTAACAGAATACATATTGGATTTATATCTACATATCTAAAGGTTCACTTATCTGTTTCAAGCAAATTTAGAAATTTGCTTAGTATAAACTGGTTATCTTATTTTTCATTAATAAATAACTTTACATTCACATAGGTTATTATACTGTCCTGTCTCGTATTCCTCAATAAGTGTGACAATTATGCACATAGTGTTCAAGAGAGTGACATAAGTGCCCTGATCACATAATTACATTTAGTTTGATCATCATCAGTGTGTCTCCCAAACTGCCAAAGTACTTGTAACCAGCCAAGCCTTGCCACTACAACATCAGTCAGTCTTTTCACATTAGCAAGTTGCAATCCATAAACATACTTATCTACGTTTCATGTTATCCTATTGGGTTATAGATCTACTCAGGCTTCTAACTGCATCCATAACAATCATTTTCCATTATTTACTTCTTCTCCTAATTAATCCATATGCTAGACACAGTTCTACCAAAGTTATATTTCTACATTCTCCTTCCGTGGATACTCTTCTTGGACTTAACACGCACAAAAACCAACTATTGCGTTCAGTCCTGTTTAACTACCCACAAACACCAACTATAGTCAGCCATTACCCTCGTGCTTCTTCAGTGGTTTGGTGAGCTATTAAGGGTTGATAGCACATAGTTTTAAGGACACATATGGGGTCAAGAGCTGAGTTGTTTGTTGTGTGTTTGTGTTTTGCATCACTGTAAGTGATGGTGTTCTGCATTTATTTATTTAATTTACAATTTGAGCACACATACGACAGAGTACAAAAAAAATACAGATAAGAGCAGCATGCGCAAAGCCACTTATACAATGTATTAACGGGCTGGCTTAAAATTAACTAAACATTAACTAAGAAATGATGAAATACTGATAAACATTAATGTAACATTAAAATGGTATAAAATCCGGACAGGTTGTTAGGTAAGACACATATGCAACAGTTAGGTATCTTTATTATGAAACGTTTCGCCTACACAGTAGGCTTCTTCAGTCAAGTAAACAGAAAAGTGATAAAGCATGAAGAATACTTTGAATACGATGTACTCAGGTCCATCACCCTTAAAGTTTGAGGTGTTCAAAAACTTTAATGGGTGATGACTGATAACATCGTTCTTCAAGATATCCTTCTGCATCTACAACTTTTCTGTACTCGGCCCTGAAGAAGCCTACTGTGTAGGCGAAACGTTTCCATAACAAAGATTACCTAACTGTTGCATATGTGTCTTACCTAACAACCACATTAATGTAAACAGATAACTATAAAGCACAAGTGAGTATTACAAAGACAGGTCATATTGTTGCTTGTATTGTTGTACATTGTTGTACAATGTTGTACATTGTTGTACAATGTTGTACATTGTTGTACAATGTTGTACAATGTTGTACATTGTTGTACATTGTTGTACAATGTTGTTACATTGTTGTAGCAATGTGTACATTGTTGTACATTGTTGTACATTGTTGTACCATGTTTGTACATTTTGAGTACATTGTTGTAATTGTTGTACATTGTGTACAATTTGTACATTGTTGTACATTGTTGTACATTCAGTAGAATGGAGTATTCTGTTAGGTAGTGTATTTAAAAAATAATAAAGTTAGATTGGGTTTTAGGTTTAACATTTATGTGATATAATTGTGAGAAACATTTAAGATATACAATTTATAAGGTTGAGTTATTCAGTATTTATTTGGATTTTTTGACTGAGTAAGTGATCTTGAAAAGCGAAGACGTTGAATCTAAAAACAGTAGTGATTTCTTTTATATTTACAGTAATAAATTCCAGATTTTAGGCCTTTATGTGCATTGATTGTGGGGGGCATAGGGGGGTGAGATGGACACGAGGAACATCAAAGATTGATTCTTGCCTTGAGTTAAGGTCATGTGTTCTGTTGAGGTAGGCAAGGAGATGTTTGAGGGGAGGGTTAATAATCAGAGTAATGTTCTATGTATGTATTAGGTGCGTAATAAGTATGGATGTTTTGTATGGTGAGTAGGTAGATTTATTGAATATTGGTGGAGTGATGCTGCCTGAAGTGAGAGTTAGTTATCATTCTAACTGCAGCCTTTGTTGGGTAATTATTGTTCTGAGATGGTTATTGTTGTTGAGACCATGCACAAATTCCATAGGTGAGATAGGGGTAAATAAGAGAGTGATATAGGGCCCGGAGGCTGACTGTGGAACATAGTACTCGTATGCTTCGATAGTATAGCCTACAGTCTTGGAAATTTTCTTAGACATTTTGTTGTATAAGTGTAAGAAATTGAGTCTATTATCAAGGTGGATACCTAAAAATTTTCCGCTCTGTACTTTGTGATAGGTGATTCGTTTATCATTATGTTAAGAGGTACATCTGTAGCTCTGTATACAAACTGAATGAAAGTAGGTTTTGTCAATGTTTAGTGTCGTTTTGTTAGTCCTCATCCAGGTAGAATATTTTCTGTAATTCGTATTTACAGTATATGCTAGTGTGACTGGGCCGGTGAGAGAATACGATGTAGTGCATCTGCAAATAGTGAGGGTTTGAGTAATTGCGAAGCATTTGGAAGGTCATTATGTATAGGAGAAAGAGAAAGAGGGCCAAGGACATTTCCCAGTGGGAGCCCAACTGTAATATGGTTGTGCAGAAGAGTTTGCCCCATAAGCGTACACATATTGGCTTCTGTGCTGAGGTATGACTTGAGGTATTTGAGGGAGTGCCCTCAAATACCATAGTGTGACGAATTTTAACGTGACAAGTCATGGTCAACAGTATCAAAAGCATTACGTAAGTCAATGAAGATCCCCAGTGGGACTTCTTTTCACTATTGCAGTGTATATATGTTCTAGCATGTGTATAATAGCATCATTAGTAATTTATTATGCCTGAATCCCAAATTGGCAGGGGTTGAGTAGGTTTTGGGAGGATAAGGTAGGAGAGATTCGTTTATGAATTAATTTTTTCGAAGATTTTTGAGAGAGGTGTAAGTTGATATTGGCCTATAGTTATTCAACTCTGTTTGGTCTCCTCCTTTGTGGATCGGGGTGACCCTTGCTATTTGAGTACTGTAGGAAGTGGAGGATCCGATGGATTTGTTAAAGAGAGATTGCAAAGATTGAGAGATAAGCACTTGTGACCCTTATTTGTAAATAAAGTGGTGGTAAGGAACTAAATCTCCTGCCTTTGTTTTTTAGATGCATTGATAATAAATGGGAGACTCGTAGGGTTAGTGAGCTAGAACAGTGTGTTCGGGTAGTTGCCGGTGAGGTAGTTCATTTGTGGGGTATCTGAGCATTGGAATTTTATTGGCACGTTTTGGTCCTATAGTGGAGAAGAAATCATTGGAGTCGGTTTGCTTGTTTCTGTTGTGGGAGTTGGGTTCATCTGATTTGCTAATTTTATTTTCGCTATTTCGTGATATCTTTTTGCTTCCCAGTAATTTCTGATAAGGGTTTACCAGTCTTTTTTATATCACCTCGTAAGTTGGATAAACTGGTTTCTCATAAACAATTTTTATGCACCTTCTATCAGCTGTTAGATGACGAGTAACGTTTTGTTTGGTCTCTGGTTATGTGCCCATTCGTACTGTTTTTCATATTGGTGTTATTGTATTTATGGATTAGAGAATTGCTGTTGTTAGCCAGGGACTGTTCAGTCTCTTTGCTGTCCCAACTGTTTAGTTTTTTTAGGTCAGGACATTGTTATAAGGTATGGGGTTCTTTTTTAGAAAATTATTAATACCTTCGTCAATAACTGTATAGATTTCAAGCTTCAGTGTGCCAATCAATGTTTGCAAATGCTGTAGTGTAAGTTTATTATGGCTGCCTCATGTGAATCTGAAGGTGACTTAGTAGTGTCTTTGGGGTAGTTAACAAGGAGTGTTATGAGGAAAGTAGGGTGAGTGGTCTGTGGTAATTATCATGTAATTAAAGCCTGATTTTAAAGGGATATGTGTGGGGTGCCAGTATGTGGTCAAGTAGGGAAACACTGTCTCTGTAACTCTTGTATGTTTTTGTTACTGTTTGTAGCAACATAACAGTTACTCATTTGTTTTTGTGATTCATTAACGTGTGGGTCCTGGTCTTGCAGGAAGATTTATTTGAAGTATTTAAACCTGAGAGTAGTAAGTGATCTTTGATCCATGCGTGCATTCAGTTATCAAACTTCCTAGATTTTGACTAAAATTGGCTAATGTTGACTGTGAACTCTGTAGATGTTTATCAATGAGGGATGTTTTTGTAGGTATTTGGATTTGAATTAGTCTATTATATGATTCCCCATGCTTCATTAGTCCCTTGTGCAAGAATTAGTGATTACATTCTAGTATGTCTGAGTAGTATATGGCTGTGCATCCCCCTTGTTGGTCTGGCCTACATTGTGTATGTGTGTAACCAGGAAATGGCATAGACATCTTCACGTGACACGAGAGCTATAGCAGGTTTCAGTTTAGGTTGTATATGATGGACATATTGGCATGTAAGTGAATTTAGTAATGCCAATAAAGTCATCGTGAATGCATTTGCTTAAAGGATCTGATATTGTAGTTAAAGACAGTTATGTTGTTGTTGGCAACTGAGAGTGCTTTTTATTGTCTCATGTAGTAAAGTACAGTAACTGTTTGAATTCATTTAAGCATTAAAATAAGAGTTGGTAATCAGGATCAATGCTTGTAATCATAAGATTATTAGTGAATCTATAGTTAGAATTAATAAAAAACAAAGTAAATAGTCTTAAGCTAAAAAAGAGCACCTGAATTATATAACAATATGTAAAATAATGATCTAATGGACTATACAAAATAAAGTGATTGTATCAAATAATAGAGCTTGGAATATGAAAGTAGGTTAGTACTATAAAAAGGTAATTTTAAAGTTAGAATTATAGTTTAAAATTATAAAAACAAGGGCCTACTATTAGGTGTGGGTGAAGAATAAGTGGTAATGCAAATAAATGAGCTTTGGAATATAATGGCAAAATTGGTGAACTTATTCTACTTTAGCAACCTTAGAATAGTACCTTGAATTATTTTAACAATTGTGGATATATAAACAAGGATAGTTATATAAAGCTAAAATAAAGGAAAAATATATAAGGACTCAAATTAAGTAATGGTAAGCAAGTTAAATGACAATGGTAGGAATTATAATATAAACTTATAATATAAAAATACAAATTGAAAATGTACTTGCAATTGGCACTAGAGTCGGTAAGATTGTTGACAAGATCAAGATATAACAATTATTTAAAATGACAAAATAAAATTCACAATTAAAGTACCAAAAGAATAGATAGTAAAAAATCACAAGAAAATGTCTGTTATAATATGATAGTAAAGGGACGACAAAGTACACAGGTAACACAGTACAAAGGATAATATAAAGGTTATGGTTTGAATATAAAAAACTTGAAAATTTGGCAACAAAATGTATGGGAAGTATACAATATGTTTAATGAACAAAAGTAACATTGACTGGTAGTAATAGGTGTTTAATAAAATTTTAGTAAGTAATAATGATTACAAAAAAGTGAAATAGTAATGTTTATTTCATTCAATATTGCACTGGTAGTTCACTGAGTTTATATGGCAGTACAAGGTAAATTAAGAGTAATCTAGGATGTAAATGTTGGTATTATAACAGGTAAAGGTAAATAACCAGTAATGGTAATAAAATATCAAAAATGAGTTAAGATAAATAGAAATTTTAGTAAAAATGATATTTAATTAATTTATAGTAAGTAATATCAATTGACAGTGAATTTAAAAAAATAAGAGGTAGTAAAGGACAGAAGAAAGAATAATCAGCTAATGTCAAGCGAACCATAGTAAATAAAAAATCACATAAGGTGATTATGCTTACTAGTAAAATACAAATGAGTAGTTGAATATTTAATTACTAGAGATTGTACAATGTAAATTTGGAACAATAAAGGAGCAAACATACACTACACTACGTAATGCTTTAAAGTTGGACAGTTGTTTAGTTTATTCTCTGTAAGTATAAGTATCCTGAGAAATCGTGATAGATCATTCCGTCGTGATTGTGTACGTTGACCTACATTTGTTTTCCAAACTAGAATTTTTCCCACGTTTGAAACAATGGTGTATTGTGTCATTATTCTCTCGCTTAAGTTTTTCTGCTCTATACAGGAGGTTCTGACGTTTTTTGGTAAGACACTCGTTATGTATACCCTTTCTTTACTTTAAAATAGATGCAATATAAAGTCATTTTTTCCTAGTCATGTGAGTGGAATCTAAGCAAGAACACCTTTTCTACCATGGTATCCCTAGTAACCTGGCTCTTTTATTTCAGACTCTGGTACAATAAAACTAGTTGGTCCCTATATGATCTGCAGAGTAATTTCTTTAACTGTTGTTTGTTTCATATCACTGTGGAAAAGTGGACTGTTAACTATTACTGCGTCCGATAGTTACCTTTGCTCAGTTTTTATATCTTCTTGGGAGCAAAGTATTCACTGAACTGGTTATCTAAGTTGTTCTTCCATTGTTTTACTGCTTCTTCAACCTTTGTATTAAGAGATATTATTTGTTGGTATGGCTATCTATGATGTTCGGATGGGTCTTGTCACAGTAGTCATTCCAGTGTTGATAACTTTTGTTCAAGACTGAGGATTTTGTTTTCCGAGTTGTGAGTCATCCTGGAGTCTTGTTTTGTTAGCGTCTCTCGAAGATTCATTTTTTCAATAACTAAGTTGAGGAAGCATGACTTATAGGGTATCTGGATCGTTGGTCATACCTGAGAGACTACTTGTAGGTTGAATCCGGGGAGAGAGGGGAGGAGCTGGCGGCAGCCATGTTTGTTGTTAATTGTTGTGTGTCGCCTTGAGTTGTGGGTTGATGGGGTGGTTTGCTCGGGCCGGCGTCCCTCCGACACACTTGTTGAATAGTTGATTTTTCGGTGTTTTCTTGCTGGCCTTGGTGCTGTTTTCCTCTTAGATAGCGCCTCATAATACTACAGGAATGTTGGTAGTAAAAGAAGTTGTATATACAAAGCTTAGGGTAACGTGTTCGGCTGGCAAAAGCGGGTGTTGCTTCGTTTGTGTGCAGTCTTTCCTTTGATCTCTATTATTTTCGATTTGTAGGTTCACTGTTGGTAAGTCTTTGTCATTCAGGGTGTCTACGTTGGGTAGTGCAGTTTTTGCATGTAACTAGGTCCATGTCATAGAGGACATTGGTAAGCTCTGGTAGTTGGAGAAAAGTACTGGAAGCTTGGAATCGCTGCTCCGCGCTGCTGTTGTTTGAGGTTGAGACAACAGCAGAAACAGCCAGGAGACACATAAATAACTGCTCAACATTAGTCACAGAAAATTAGACACACGTGCAACTCAGAATCTTAATGGAGGAAACGTTTCGCCACAGTGGCTTCATCAGTCCATATATATAGGAGAAACTTGAAGAACAGGAGGAGAATGAGGTAATCAGTCCCTCAACCTTGAGTCGATGTGGTCAGTCCATCAATCTGGACTGATGAAGTCACTGTGGCGAAACGTTTCCTCAGTAAACATTATTATTATTATTATTATTATAATCAAGGGGAAGCGCTAAACCCGGAGGATTATACAGCGCCCAGGGGGGGGGATGTGGAAGGCATTCAGGCTTTTAATTCGGGGAACTGGAGCACAGATCTAATTCCCTAAATCCCCTCAAGGAAGGTTCCTTGATGTTGGTCAGGGGCTCTTGATTTAGGGAATTGGATCTGTGCTCCAGTTCCCCGAATTAAGCCTGAATGTCTTCCACATCCCCCCCCAGGCGCTGTATAATCCTCCGGGTTTTAGCGCTTCCCCTTTGATTATAATAATAAGAATAACTACCAAATCAAGAGCCCCTCACCAACCTCAAGGAACCTTCCTTGAAGGGGCCGGGCTCAGAGTTATTATTATTATATTATTATAATTATTATAAATTATTATTCAGGGAACTGGAGCACAGTTCCGTTCCCTAAATCAAGAGCCCCTTACCAACATCAGGAACCTTGAGGGTCCAGATACTCCAAGACTGCACATGTTCCTAATTATCCAACATTTCGGTTCTCTGAACCATTCATCTACAATAAAAATTGTCATTTAAAGTGATGGGATCTTGATCCCAGGAATGGAAGTTGGTCCTTTTTTTTCTAACTAAGAGGAGCTATGTGCCCAGAAGGAGCTAGTTTCTAGTGATGTTAAAAAGTAATGAAATAGCATGTGCAAAGGACAAGGGCCGCTCGCTTGTACAGAATAAGGTGGGACATGAGACAATCCCTAGTATATTTAAGTGACTTTATAATCTCGGGTGACTTTCGCGAGGCTCAGTTGGTACAAGAAAGAAGGAATTTGGGACATCCCATCTAGCTGTATTCCCGCATGTGGGCATTGGTACGTGGATTTTATTGGTGGATTAGATCCTAAGGTTGGAAGAAGCCGTTATCTTGTTAGCTGGTCAGTGGGGATGTAGTGGTGTTTCATTAGGTTTTAATTAGGACAATATTCTTGTTCTTTCTCAGTTTAGTGGTCCTAGAATCGAGTGTTTCCAGGTCTTTTTTTAAATCTCCTCTTGTGTCAGTGAATCTACTGGAGTAGTAAAGTTGTTTGGCTTCTTATTAAACATCGGTGATAACTGATGAATAGTGTTTAAGAATATCTTTGTGTATTAAGCCCTGGCTATATTGCTTTTCATATTGGTGTTTCTTATCAATGGATTTCAGAATGGTGCTGGTTAGCCATGGGCAACCAAGCTCCAAATTTTTCCCCTCCCACAAACTGAACCCTGTTAAGTTAATTTTACAAAGTGTTATAAAAAATATGCTGCAATTCTTCAGTAGTGCTATAACCAAAATGTGCCAAACAAAACCCTGTTAAACGACTGTCTACTCTACATAATTAGATATTTATAAATTTACTATGAAGTTCTTTTAATAAAAATATTTTCATACATTTGTAGGTAAGCATAAGTGCGAGTGAGTCTACACTGTGTTTAACGATGGTCCAGATCCCACAAAAAAGACGACGACTTGAAGAAACTATGGTAATGGACGATAAACCAGAGGTATAGGTGGTGCTATTACTAATGGAAATGCAAAGTGAAAAACTTGCTTGTTATAATACCATCATTTGATACCATTATAAGTCATTAATAAAGCTCTATTTATTCACAGGGAGCCACCCTGGAGGGCGAAGGTGAGGATACTGCTCCTCCAGGAGAGGAAGGAAGCCACCAGGAGGTAAGGCTCTATCAAAGCTTTTTGTCAGTTTATTATATATATGAATAATATATATACATGAATAAGGAATATCCACTAGGAATTTTTATTGACCTAAGAAAAGCTTTTGACACAGTAGACCATGGCATCCTACTCCACAAACTTGACCATTATGGTAAAGAGGCCATGTGCTTGCATATTTCAAATCTTACTAATAGGTATCAGTATGTCACCATTAAAGACACAGCATCAACAACATGGCCACTTGATACTGGAGTTCCGCAGGGAAGTGTCCTTGGTCCCCTGCTCTTCCTCATGTGCATTTAATGATCTTCCAGTCGTATCCCCAAAACCTGAACCCCATTCTCTTTGTTGACGACACGACTTATGTCATCTCTCACCCTAATCTTGCCACCCTCAACACCATTGTTAACGAGGAGCTGATCAAAATATCGACTTGGATGACAGCCCCAAAAAACTACGCTTAACACTGACAAAACCTACTATATTATGTTTGGTAGCAGAGCAGAGCTTCGCAAATTAACATTAAGATTGACAATACTCTAATTTCCAGACATAATGAGGGCAAATCCTAGGCCTATACCTCGACAACAACCTGAATTTCAGCACCCATATCCAACACATAACCAAAAAAGTATCCAAAACGGGTTCTTATCCTCTCCAAGATACGATACTACATGCCGCAAAATGCCCTTCTCACACTATACCACTCACTTATTTATCCATACCTCACCTATGCTATTTGTGCTTGGGGATCAACTGCAGCAACACACCTAAAACCAATAATAACCAAACAAAAAGCCGCAGTAAGAATAATCACTAAATTCCATCCCTGGCAACACACCCCCCCACTCTTCATAGATCTAAACTTACTCCTTGTTCAGTACATCCACACTTACTACTGTGCAATCTACATCTACAGGACCTTAAATTCCAATATTAACCTTGACCTAAATTGCTTTCTTGATAGTTGTGACAGGATCCACAGGCATAACACCAGACACAAACATCTCTATGACATTCCCCGTGTCCGACTAAACCTTTACAAAATTCAATGTATGTCAAAGGCCCTAAATTGGAAGACCCTACCTGAAAACTCTAGAACTGCAGACACATTCATCACCTTCAAAACTACCATTAGAAAACATCTTATCTCCCTGATACACCCCGTCAACTAACTTCACGAATACCACCTGGTGGTTCACACTTACACTCACTTACCCATTTGACCATAAACAGAATATCAATCTCAATCTTAAAATAATGAATCCTAACTAGTCATAAGTTGGCCTGTGATACTCCAATACTGAAACTGTATTGTGCCAAAACAAAAGCATTCACATTGCTAAACTCACAAACTAGTATTTAGTCACTTAGCCATAATACCAACTTACCTCATAATTTGTAATATTTTAAAGTTAAAATTAATCTAAGTCTGCCCGAAATGCCTAGCCATGCTAGGTGTTCTAGTGGTACACTCTGTAATGCCTAGCCATGCTAGGTGTTCTAGTGGTACACTCTGTAATACCTAGCCATGCTAAGTGTTCTAGTGGTACACTCTGTAATGCCTAGCCATGCTAGGTGTTCTAGTGGTACACTCTGTAATGCCTAGCCATGCTAGGTGTTCTAGTGGTACACTCTGTAATGCCTAGCCATGCTAGGTGTTCTAGTGGTACACTCTGTAATGCCTAGCCATGCTAGGTGTTCTAGTGGTACACTCTGTAATGCCTAGCCATTCGTAAGATGAAATGATCGTAGGTTGAATTAATTTTCCCCATAAGAAATAATGGAAATAAAATTAATCCGTGCAAGACACCCAAAATTATGAAAAAAAATTTACCACGTGAAATATACATTTTTCTACTCTGCTCTACTAAATGAAGAATTAATGACACTTACCTTTATTGAAGATGCAGCAATGACTGATGAGACACTGTGTCCTGGGAGTGCCTTTTCCTCCTTAGTACTGTAGGTCCTGTTTGGCATTTTCTTCCAGAACAGGCCTTATCACACTGTGTATGCCACTATAATTCTTAAATCTCTCAAACCAACCTTTGCTGGCCTTAAATTCACCAATATGAGCACTAGTTCCAGGCATTTTTTTTTGTTCACCTGGGTGTTTGTTGACTGGTGTGGGTCACATCCTAAGAGACAAGATTAAGGACCCCAATGGAAATAAGTTAGAAGTTCTCGATTTAAAACACTGACTTTTTTGGGTTATCCTGGGTGGCTAACCCTCTGGGGTTAATTGTTTCCCTTTGGGATTCTTGATAAGCCACACCAACAACTGTGCTACAGCAGCAGCGCAGCTGATGGTGCTACAGCAGCAGCAGCAGCAGCTGACCATGGTACAATAGTATTTCGATAATATTTCTCACCCTTTTTACCACAGGGTTGGCACTAGAAACCCTTTTTTTGGGCTCCTGGTGGCCCTTATTTAGCACTAGAAGCTTCTTTGGGCTCTTGGTGGCTTATTTAGCAGTTAAGAAGCACTAAAAACACTGGAATAATACAAAATATTCCGAATGTATGCTTGGGAGTGACCGCTCTGGCTTGTAAAACATTGGCACACTAACTGCAGGCAGGCCAGCTGAGGTGTGGATGTGTACTGGGGCGAATGCTGTAGGTCGAGTTTTTCAACATTGGGGTCAAATTTTTATGCTGGGAAAAACATTGTAGGTCGGTTTTAACGTAGGTTGGGGATATCGTACGTCAGGGCCCACTGTACTTGAACTATGCCTTGCCTTAAAATCTTTGTAAAGGTAAAAGTCCCTGTCCTTTTGGGGGCACCCATGTTATGCTTCAGTATCTTAGTCAGCCAAACCTGAAATTTAAGTTGCTTTCATTGTACAACAAAAACTTGGACGTCGTGTACATTTCCAAACGCATGTCATACTGATCCCCCAAAAGGCTCGGGAGAATAACAAATCCCTCTCTTTTCCACCCTTTTTCCTGTGATGACTGCCTCTGTAAAGTGTGGAATGAATGATTACAATTTGTCCTAGAATGTTTGAGACTCAGTTGCACTTATCTCACTCACCTGAAGCTGTGCCTCAAATGTCAATTTTCCCTTCAGTGTTACTGAAGCAGTTTCCTCACCATACCTCACATCCTGTTCTCTGTAAACTTTTTCTCGTTATCCTCTTTTATGTCTGCAAAAAGGAACACCTCCATTCACAATTGATTCCCTTCTTCACGATGATTATCCATCTGTTGTCACTCCCAGATTCATTTTCTCAAAGAGGCAAATTTGATTAGGGTGATGTAGTTTATGTACTCATACCTGTACATATTCATTTATATGTTACCTCATTGCTTGTAATCCCTTCCTGCCACCATACTTCATTCATTTTTTTCTTGAATTCTGCCTCCTCTTCTATTTAAGCACCTCTCCTATGCATTGCATTTTTGTGTGTGACTTATTTTGACAAGATAAGCCTACAATAATAGTTTATACTGTTCACCTTACACTGAAACTAACATTCCACCCTTCTACACTATATTTCCACATTCATGTCTCAACATTTAGGTAGTTGTAGGTTTCTTCTTCCTTGTCCCTTCCATTACTACTAGGTGACCTTGTGTCGTTTATTAAAAAGGGCACCTCTAACTTAATGACTTCCTTATAGGTCAAGGGCTGTTAAGCCCAACAAGGCAGGAAGAATTTCTCTCAGCATATATATACTGAGCAGTTGCTTTAATTCTTATTTTTGGGATTAATGTATTCTTGTCTGGTTATGAAAAGGATACCGTGCAACCTTAATGATCCTCGAGTATTTGAGAAGCGTTAAACTACCATTAACTAACGCAGTCTCAGATTCAGTATGCCATCAACCGCCGCCAGTGTTTTTTTTTTTTTATTTAATATATTTATTATGCACCCCATATCTATCTTGTGGGCGGCACTCAAAAGATTACAGACACAAAAAAATAGGTCCAGGGTCTCAGGAGATTATGTGCCTCTAATCGTTGGTGCTATGGTAATGGACGATAAACCAGAGGTATAGGTGGTGCTATTACTAATGGAAATGCAAAGTGAAAAACTTGCTTGTTATAATACCATCATTTGATACCATTATAAGTCATTAATAAAGCTCTATTTATTCACAGGGAGCCACCCTGGAGGGCGAAGGTGAGGATACTGCTCCTCCAGGAGAGGAAGGAAGCCACCAGGAGGTAAGGCTCTATCAAAGCTTTTTGTCAGTTTATTATATATATGAATAATAATATACATGAATAAGGAATATCCACTAGGAATTTTTATTGACCTAAGAAAGCTTTTGACACAGTAGACCATGGCATCCTACTCCACAAACTTGACCATTATGGTATAAGAGGCCATGTGCTTGCATATTTCAAATCTTACTAATAGGTATCAGTATGTCACCATTAAAGACACAGCATCAACAACATGGCCACTTGATACTGGAGTTCCGCAGGGAAGTGTCCTTGGTCCCCTGCTCTTCCTCATGTGCATCAATGATCTTCCAGTCGTATCCCAACACCTGAACCCCATTCTCTTTGTTGACGACACGACTTATGTCATCTCTCACCCTAATCTTGCCCCCCTCAACACCATTGTTAACGAGGAGCTGATCAAAATATCAACTTGGATGACAGCCAATAAACTTACGCTTAACACTGACAAAACCTACTATATTATGTTTGGTAGCAGAGCAGGAGCTGCGCAAATTAACATTAAGATTGACAATACTCTAATTTCCAGACATAATGAGGGCAAATTCCTAGGCCTATACCTCGACAAACAACCTGAATTTCAGCACCCATATCCAACACATAACCAAAAAAGTATCCAAAAGGGTTTTCTTATCCTCTCCAAGATTACGATACTACATGCCGCAAAATGCCCTTCTCACACTATACCACTCACTTATTTATCCATACCTCACCTATGCTATTTGTGCTTGGGGATCAACTGCAGCAACACACCTAAAACCAATAATAAACCAAACAAAAGCCGCAGTAAGAATAATCACTAAATTCCATCCCTGGCAAACACCCCCCCCCCCCCCTCTTCATAGATCTAAACTTACTCCTTGTTCAGTACATCCACACTTACTACTGTGCAATCTACATTACAGGACCTTAAATTCCAATATTAACCTTGACCTAAATTGCTTTCTTGATAGTTGTGACAGGATCCACAGGCATAACACCAGACACAAACATCTCTATGACATTCCCCGTGTCCGACTAAACCTTTACAAAAATTCAATGTATGTCAAAGGCCCTAAAATCTGGAAGACCCTACCTGAAAACTCTAGAACTGCAGACACATTCATCACCTTCAAAACTACCATTAGAAAACATCTTATCTCCCTGATACACCCCTTTCAACTAACTTCACGAATACCACCTGGTGGTTCACACTTACACTCACTTACCCATTTGACCATAAACAGAAATATCAATCTCAATCTTAAAATATGAATCCTAACTAGTCATAAGTTGGCCTGTGATACTCCAATACTGAAACTGTATTGTGCCAAAACAAAAGCATTCACATTGCTAAACTCACAAACTAGTATTTAGTCACTTAGCCATAATACCAACTTACCTCATAATTTGTAATATTTTAAGTTAAGAATTAATCTAAGTCTGCCCGAAATGCCTAGCCATGCTAGGTGTTCTAGTGGTACACTCTGTAATGCCTAGCCATGCTAGGTGTTCTAGTGGTACACTCTGTAATGCCTAGCCATGCTAGGTGTTCTAGTGGTACACTCTGTAATGCCTAGCCATGCTAGGTGTTCTAGTGGTACACTCTGTAATGCCTAGCCATGCTAGGTGTTCTAGTGGTACACTCTGTAATTAGTATTTTGCTACATGTAAACCACACAATAACCAAATTCTGTAAACTTTGAATTTGAATTTGAACTAACAAAAAAATAAGTACAGTCATGCAGACATATTTCTATCAGTGTTTTAGGCTTATTAAACATGTGATAGAGCTCTCACAAAACTAGTGTTCAGCAGTAGTTAACATGTGATAGAGCTCTCACACACTAGTGTTCAGCAGTAGTCTACCATCAAAGTGACCAGGTTTCCCTAAAATCTCTTCTCCATGATGGCTATGTCATTGTGAAATCATTCACCGTGAGGTTCGCTTTTGTAAAAACTGTACGGCTGGAGCAAAACTTAAGTTCAGATTTGACTTCAGCATCCCAAAATAAGTTAGAAACACATTTCTAAATGAATCGAAACTTCAGTTAACTGTTATTTTTACATTAGACTGTTAAGATTAGAAAATGAAATTGATTTATATTGCAGAAATACAATCATAGCTTAAAATATTTCATGTGTGGACCGTAGAATGTTTCATGTGAGACCATAGAATGTTTACAATAGACCATAGAATGTGCTTGTGTGGACCATAGAATGTATTTCATATGAGGATCGCATAAAGGATTTTTTTTCCAAGCCATTCTCCATCTCATGGGAAGGGATTTTTCACACTTTTATCACACCATAGTTTACCAAGTCATACTCCATCCTACACCATTGTTTACCATTATACTCCATCCTACACCATCGTTTACCATTATACTCCATTATACACCATTGTTTACCCAGTCATACTCCATTCTACACCATCGTTTACCCAGTCATACTCCATCCTACACCGTCGTTTACTCAGTCATAATCTCACAAGACTCCTGCGCCCAATGAATCTTATGCCTCAGCTGCACGTACCCTACATCACCTAAATCTTCTAAGCCCAACTCTTCTAAAACCACTGCTTAAGCCTTCTCTTCCCCTTCATGCTGCTGAGTATTCCACACACACTCCAAAGAAGAGAAGCGATGTACACCGTTTACCCAAATGCGAGTCACTCCCTCTTTGCCTCTCCCCAAGTCTTCGCTCATCCAATGTCTACAGGTCCCCTATACGTAGTTGAACTCTTTGTCGAGATCGAGTTCACAAGACTTGTGTTCTAGTGTTGAAATCACTCGCCAGGGACATGATTTATCCCACAGTTTTCTCTCTATGAGGGAACAAGAGATCTAGAGCAAATGGCCTTAAAAGGAATCAGATCTTAAACTAACACATTCAGTATCTTACAGTGGAATTGTCGTGGTCTTAGGAACAAATGATTACAACTTTCATTGCTAATAAGACTTTATTAACACTCCATTATTTGCCTATAGGAGACACTTTTTACCAGAATGGTTGTAGACTGTGCTGCTCATCGAACTACCATTTGTATACCAGTCAAGGGGCACGGAATCCTCGTTATAGTTCACAATACTTTACTTTCATATGGAGTGCCGTTGTATTCAATCTCAGTTCTGTCACTTGTTGATTTAAATTCATGAGGCGTCCTGGTG